GATTTTGGTTTTTTTTCATATTTTATTTATTATTTTTATTTCATATGTATGAATGTATTGCTTGCATGTATGTGATTGCATCCGTGTCGTGCAATGCCATGGAGGTCAGAAGAGGGCTTCGGATTCCCCTGGAACTGGAGTTAAGGACGGTTTATAGCCGCCATGTGAGTGCTGGGAATCTAACCCAGGTCCTCTGAAAGAGCAGTCAGTGCTCTCAGCCACTGAGCCATCTCTCCAGCCCACAAATGTAGTTTAAAAAAATCAAAACAAAACAATAAAAAAACCCTATTTTGACCTCAATTGAGCTTTTCCTCCAAATAGTTCCATTCGTCTCTCAAGTGATCTATGTTACCAGATTCATAATTCAATTATTATTTTATTAACTTTTTAGTTAGGATACAAGATAGTGAGTCTCACTATGACATTTTCATATGTATCATTGTTCTGTTCCATTATTATTATATTTCACATTTTATCAATGAAAGTGTGGGCATTTGTTTCCTGTCTTATTACACATTTTCAGCATTTTTCAGTTGTTACTCTTCTGTTGATTTTGTAAGTCGATTCCTCTTCTTGGCAGCCTTGTTGAATTCTCGGTTGATTAGGGCTGGGTTCAACTGCGTTAAGTAGAAATCCACTCAAGGGAAAAGTCACAGATGGGAGTTGTGTAAACTTAGTTCTGCAAACAGAAGCTTAGGTAGGTTTTTGGTTTTTTGTGTGTACTGGGAAAGCCAGGGCCTCATAAATGCTAAGTGTGCTGTACCACTGAGTCACACTCTTATCCCTTGTTAATACATTGAAGCAGGGACAGATTCCATGCTGGGAATTAGCAGTCACTGATTATTAGAAGGGCTGGAGGAGAAGTAAGGGCTTGGCGTCAAGCTTATTCCACCAAGTGGAGACTGAAAGCCAAGAAGGACACTATGCACAGATGATGACTCTACCTCTAGATGCCCGCCAAGTTGAGGCTGGTTCAGTCCAGTCATCTCCGCATCCTGGAACCCAGTGACCCTGGAGCAGTTTTGGTCTGTGTCCTGAAGTCCCTTGTCTGCCCACTCCATGGCCACTGTGATGTCCACAGCATGGCCTGATTTGGGAACATATCTGAAAGGGGCTATGGCCTGACTGTGTGGCCAGCACTCTGATGGCCAGGGATGGGTGGAGTATATTGTTGGGAGGCCATACTCTGTCTTGCCATGTGGCCCTGGCATGTGCTTCATCAGTGTGGCCCTCTAGGAAATGACAGTAAGAAGGAAGCCTGAATCTGATTCTTCCAACCAAGTCTAGCATGGTGAAAGCCAAGTGCAGTTCTCTTTCCCCGGGTGGTTTGGGCCTGGCCAGAGGCCCATTTGTGGCTCTGCACAGGGTCCCCACCCACACATTCCCAGGGCATGAGAAGCTGCACTCCCAGCTGCCTGGGCCAAGACTCATTTGTTCCCTGACAGTGAAAGGCTGCATGGTCTGTCCACACCTACTTCCCAGATGAGGAAACTGAAGCAAAGGAGGCTAGCTCATCAATGTCACCATGGGTAGGGCCAGCCATTGGGGACCCTAGGGACCTGGAGGCTGTGGTGGTTATTAAGTATCTACACTCAGGCAACCTGAGCCATAGGCAGGATAAGGACCCAGGCATCCCCAACCTGGCCTGCTACTTTCTCTGACCTGACTGTACACAGACCATTGGCATTTGCCAAGAATGTAGACTGACCCACACCCTGCTGCCCCACGCACATTACACTCTCCCTTACTTTGCTCCAGCCTTTGGAAACCTGGACAGAGTTCCACTGTCCCCATTTCCCCTTCCCTCTGGGACCTGAGTAAAAACCTTGTGCCTACAATGGTGCTATATTGACTGCATATTCCTGGCAAGAACCAGGGCTGCCCCCAGCCATGCTTTTCTTAGGGAGGGGCCCTCAAGGAGCTCCAGACTGAGTCAGACAGCTCAAACTACACCCAGGTCACTAGAGGGACAGAAGGATGCCTCTATGAATGAATAGGTTTCCAGTGAATGACTCCTGGTCACAGTCTTCCCATTTCTCATTAGAGTAGCCTGATGCTGGCCATCTGGGATGGGAACCCCAGTTCAGCTGGGGGCTTTCACAACATGATGTCAGTGACTTTCCTGGGAACCATATTTCCTGGGGTTAACCCCAATGTGAACACCCTCAAAGGGCTCATGATGGCATGGTCACAGTGAGGTGGGAGTGTGTGCTAACTCAGAAGTCAAGTCACACTTACCCCAAGTGCATTGTGGGTGGGGTGAGTGCTCATCTCCAGCAGTGCCTCCTAGCACTTCTGTCCCAATCTGCCCTGGATCAGAACTGGTTCTGGGACCTATCAAGGGGAGGTTCCAGTCACTCCCTGCCCACTATGGCATCCTCTCCCCACTCCCTGCTGCACAAAGAGAAGCAGCAAGGACTCCCCTTCTCTACCAGAAATAACAGGAGTTATTTCTGTCCCCTGACCCTGATATGCTGGCCTCAGAGCATCTCTGTGATTAAGGCAGAACTAGATGGCCCTGTGTTGAAGACCTAGCCCTAGTTTTCTATCCCACCCACCCTCACCCAAGCCTGACCTTTGCAAGGAATGTGGTCTGACTTCATTTCTTATCACCTCAGGACCTTGGCTGCGCTGGAGAGAGGCTGTGTAGGGGACTGATGTGGAAGGACCAGGCAGGCTGGACTTTTGTCCTGTAACCCCTCACTTACCCAGCTGGGAGCTCTTGACTTTCTGGATAGCATGGAAGGAAAGTGGCCACTGCCCTGTTGTAGACTCAGCTACTTCTACCTCATACTCTACTCTGAGGAACTTGTGATCAGCTCAGACCTACCTTTGAATAAGGGGCAAGGTCGCCCTGGCAACAGGGCAGGGCCAGGGGCAGCTCTCTCCATGACCAGGCCCCATCTTAGACTCCAGAACAGGTTCTAGTCATGCCCCACCCCTAAGCAGGGCCTGGCATACAATTGAGGCTTAGCTAGTATGCAGGTGATAAATGAGCAATGGGTGATTGACTGGATGCTGACCATAGAGGATGAGGGATGGGAAGCATCGGATGACTCTTCTGTGTTTCCTCTATCCCTAGAACCCACAAAACCCACTGTGGATGTTGTTTTGTTTCACATCGATACGTCTTTGCCTGGTCTGAATGGATGCAGTCCATGCTGGAACTTGAACTCAATATAGCTGCTGGACCACAGTGGCCCCCACCTGCCCCTCTTAGGGTAGACTGCAAAAGACATAGAGTCCAACACCCATAGCTATTTGTACAGACTAGGCTGTCAAGGATCCCCCACTAGGAATTCTGGGTAGGTTCTGGGTCACACAGGGTTGGGCTGTAGGCTGGACAGTCTTCTGGGTTGAAGGGATATATCAGGGTACATTTCTTGCCTGGGTTCACCTCCCTGCCCCCTCATCTTCTGGCCTGACTTTCCCACAGACTTTGGGAGCTCTAAACCCTTGGTCCTGCCTTAGGAGGGACCTGAGGCTCCTTAGACTTTCCCTGCTGCTGGATTGACCAGGCAGCTCTGCCCAGTGGGCATGAGCAGCTCAAGAATGGGAGCATGAGAAACCCTTATTCTTAGCAGTGGGGGGCCAGAGGCTTGGGCCTAGGTCAGCAGGGATGTGGTCCCACTCCTGCTTGGGAAGACTATTCTACAGGATGCAGCTCTACCCACCCTACCTCCAGGGCTCCTGAACCTCACCCCAAGGGCACAAGTGGATTTCCAATAGTTCCCACCCACTTCCTGCCCCAACAATGTCCACACCTGAAAAGGGCTCTGAAAAGTCAGGTCACCCCAGCGGACTGACAGGGAGAGGCATTGCCTCCCCTACCACATTGTCTGCCTGGTGTTTGCATAAATCCTTCAGCCCCATGCCCCAGAAAAAGAGAGGGGGGCTCAATACAACCCTGGCCCGAGCCACTCAGTCCCCCTGGTACAAATGGGGAAACCAAGGCCAACCTGAGTGGGAGGCAGCCTGCTTCCTTTCACTAAGCTCTCAGTTCTGCTCTGCCCTGTGGGAACAGCTTCAGCTAGGTCTCACAGCCAGGGTGCCTGCCTAGCTGACTCAGACCCAGTGCCCCTCCCTATAAGAGGTCTGGTTTTCCTTAGAGGCGGGCCTGGCAAGGGGTCAGTGTGGAGAGCCAGCCTGGAAGACACGATAGCAGGTGCCCATGGAAGTTTAGCAGGTGCTTTCCCGGGCCCAAAGGCCCCCTCACTGCCCAAGGATAGTGGTATGGTATGAATGAGGGCTGAGACAGGTGGGAACCTTAGAGATACTGTCCTCCACAGACCATGGCCTTGTCAATAGCTCTACCCTTGCTGGGGTCCTGTGGAAGTCCCACCCATGGTGGAAGCCTTCTGATGCTCCTCCTTAGTCTTGGTGAGTATGGGGTGGGCTAGTCACCAGAGAGAGATGAGGGCAGCCCAGGACCTTCACAGGCTGGGACCTTGGAAGAATTCTACCTGCCCTATGGTTTCTCCTCCAGCTATAGCTAGATGGCCTGGGTCCCAGGTAGGGGACGGGTCAGGGGTTGAGAGCAGTGGGAGGCCTGGAAAGGGTGTCTGACCACCCCTAGAAAGATGTGGGAGGTTCCAGCTTCCTATGTGGGGCAGACCCCTGAGCCTGGGGAGCATAGGCTATAGTATCATAGGGTACAAAGGTCTTAACTCTCTCTTTCCATACCTAGTGGGGTATGCAGAGGGCTGGGGCCAGGGAAAGGACCAGTTTTGCCTCCAGCCTCACCTCTAGCCTTATGCTTTCTGCCCCACAGGGTGGATGTCACCTCTGAGTGCCCAGACTACGGAGACAGGACAGGTAAGGTCCTCTAGGGGAAACAGGAGGATTTTCTGTCATGGGTGGAGGTTCAGCCTTACCTGGGTTGGGGCTGGAGGCCATATTTTCTTTACCTCAAATCATGGATACATGTCAGCTGTGAGTGCCAGTTTTCAATGACAGCTATTGACCAAAGTGTTACTGGGCCTAAAACGTAGCAGATCCTAGGCTACAACTGGGCTCTGGAAGGAGCTGGGTGGGGAAGCAGTGAGGCCCTTGAGTGTAAGTCAGAGGCTCCAGAATCAGTGGGACTCAGGTAGTACCTGGGCCTTGAAACCGCTGAGCCCAAGCTGTTGGGCCTGGGGAAGTGTCAGCCAGGCCTTGTTCCCTAGGAGGCTGCACTTCTCCATGCTGTACTGGCTGGTACCCATGACTTTGCCAGGTGGGTTCAGCACCCTCTGGGGGTTCAGGAGCCCTTGTGGGCTGGATGACCAGGTGACAGTCACCCAGGTTCCTGAACTTTCATATTCTAATGCTCTCAGTGTCCCGTCTGATTTCTCTACCCACCTCCCTCCCCACCTAACTCAGGGCTAAGGGTGGGACTGCACTCCAGGGGATATCGAACCCTTGTCCTCCAGGCTGTCACTTATCCCAGGGAAGGCCACTAGAACCCCAGGGTCCTGAAGGGAGGAGTCCCTGGGGTGGAAAAGCACTTCTGGAGGAGCAGTCCTAGGTACAGACTCCTAGCCCTGCCCCCAGCCTCCCTCCAAGCCTCTTTCTTAGCCTCACATGTGAGGAGGTGGCTGGCCTGAACATGGAGCGTGTCTGGGTGTTGGCCATGACTGTGAGGCAGAAGAACATCACGCTCCGGGTAGATCAGGTCAGTCCCTCACTGCAGTCCCTGGGTGAGGTGAGGGAGGGACACCCACAGCTGGGAAGTTGATGACTAATTTCTGGGGCCAAACATGATACCGCTGCCCACCTCAATCCCTATCCAGGATATCTCCCTGACTGGTGGCTCCCCTCAGAGTTCCTCCAGCTACCTAAACTGACCACTAGGTGTTTGTCTCCACTGGGGTTCAGTTCTCTGGGAGTCTGAATGCTTTCCCTCTGGACCTGCTGCCCTTCCTCAAGCTGGAAATGACCTCGCTGTCTCTCTCCTGGAAACCTTGGGCCAGTCTTTAAGGCTGGTCAACCTCAGAACATAGTCAATGGTTGCATGACTCAGGAGGGGGGGAGGGCAGCCAGCTTGGTTGGCTAAACCCTGCCCAGCCTATGTGGACCCAAGATCAAGGCAGACCTGTCCCTGTTCTCGAGATGGCTCTTGAGGCGGCAGGACATTCATGCCACAGATTGAGCAGAGATGGGGCCAGGGTATGGAGTGTGGGGTAGGTAGACCTGAGGCCATTCTGGAGGTCTGTGGCCCAGAACATTCTGAACTGGATGTCCTGGTCTCCTGGTAGCTGCGCTGTCTGGCACATCGCCTTCCTAAGCACCTCACTCCTGAGGACCTGGATGCCCTCCCACTGGACCTGCTGCTCTTCTTCAAGTAAGCCTGGAGCTGGGGGCTTGGTCTCACCTTGCCTAGCCCTGGATCACAAGTGCAGGGCTGGGGTGGCTTTGGCAGGGTGGCCCTCAGTGGAATGTATACAGTGGTCAGCACACCCCCTCTCCATAGCCCAGCCATGTTCCCAGGACCCCAGGACTGTATCCATTTCTTCTCCTACATCTCCAAGGCCAACGTGGATGTGCTCCCACGGAGAGCTCTAGAGCGCCAGAGGCTGCTGCCTGCAGCTCTGGCCTGCCAGGTATGGAATGGTAGCATCTTCTCTTTAGATACAAAGGGGAAAGGGGCTTGGTGGTTATCCTAAGATGCTAAGGCTAACTGTGTATATACAGGGCATACATGGGTTTCGAGTGAGTGAGGAGGATGTGCAGGCTCTGGGAGGCCTGGTCTGTGACCTGCCTGGGCAATTCGTGGCTGAATCTTCGGAAGCCCTCCTCCCCTATCTGGCAGGCTGCCAGGGACCCTTGGATCAGGACCAGGAAGCAGCAGCCAGGGAGGCTCTTCGGGATGGAACACCCCCCTATGGGTGAGTGGGGGCAGCCGTGTGTAAGGACATCCATGGTTGCCACACTTGGTATTCTAGTTAGCTATCCCCTGCTGTACCCTATTAGGGCTTGTTCCCTAGGAGGCTGCACTTTTTTTTTTTTTAAATCTTTTTGAGACAGGGTCTCCCTGTAGCCCCAGCTGTCCTGGAACTCACTATGTAGACCAGCCTGGCCTTGAACTCACAGAAATCTGCCTGCCTTTATCTCCCAAGTGATGGGATTAAAGGCATGCACCACCGCACCCGGCTGGAGGCTGCACTCTTAACCACTTAGCAGAGGCAGTGTTTGACCCATCTCCATTTCCTGCTCTCTTGTCTGGGGCCACATTCAAGGTCACTGAACTGGGCCCTTGTGTCTGGACAGCCTACCATCAAGGTGGTCAGTATCCACCCTGGATGCTCTGCAGGGCCTCCTGACTGTGTTGGATGAGCCCATCGTTCATAGCATCCCCAAGGTGAGACCCTGCTCCCCCAGCCTGACTTGAAAGCTGCTGGGCCTTGAGGCTCAACCTATGCTCTGTCCTCAGGGTGTCATAGCCGCATGGCTGCAACACACCTCCTGGTATCCCTCCTGGCTTGGACCTGAGTTGACTGCTGTGCTCCCAAGGTTCCGGCGGGATGCAGAGAGTGAGCCCAGAGCTATGCCCATCAGGTGTCAGGTTAAACTAGGACCCTGGGGATGAGGAGACTAGCATTGTAAAGTTTCACCTGCTTCCACCTATGGCCTTTTCTGGCTCCTCAGCTTGGTCAGTCATAATCTCACAGGGGGAATAGAATTTCACCATTTTGCCAGTGGGTAAACTGAGGCCCAAGGTGTCATGGTAGGTATGGGAGGAGGGAGAGGCTGAGGGGAGCACACTGCTCTTCCCTGTAGAGAAAGCCTGCCCTCCAGGGCGGGAGCCGCACAAGGTGGATGAAAACCTCATCTTCTATCAAAATTGGGAGCTAGAGGCCTGTGTAAATGGTTCCATGCTGGCCTCCCAGATGGATATTGTGAATGAGATTCCCTTCACATATGAGCAGCTCAACATCTTCAAACACAAACTAGACAAGGTAGTTCATGATGGGTTCCCATCTCCCCACTGTGCCCACGGCTACTTCCCCAATGGTCCAGGAAGGGGGCTCTGGCCATCATGGTCACTTCCTTTTCAGACCTACCCACAAGGTTACCCCGAGACCTTGATCCAGCAGTTGGGCTACTTTTTCCGCTATATCAGCCCAGAGGACATCAACCAGTGGAATGTGACCTCACCAGAGACTGTGAAAACTCTGCTCAAAGCCAGCAAAGGACAAAAGATATATGCTCAGGTAACACTTGCCCCAGGGAATTCAAGTAGTCTGGGTGGGGAGAGAAGATACACCTCTCCCTGCCTCTACCTGCCCCCACCCACAGGTGACTGCCCTGATTACCCGATATCTCCTGGGAGGTGGCCAGCTGGATGAGAACATACTGAAAGCCCTGACTGACATCCGTTCCACCTACCTATGTGACCTCAGTCCCCAGGAGCTGGGTTCCATACCTCCCAGGGTCATGTGGTGAGTTTCTGGAGTGCTTTGAGGGGCTGGATGAATATACTGAGCTCCCCGATCACTTCCATACCCCCATACTGTCTCTAGGCTGGTTGGGCCCCACGACCTCGACAAATGCAGCCAGAAGCACCTGGAAGTCCTCTACCCCAAGGCCCACTTGGCTTTCCAGAACATGAGTGGGTCAGAATACTTTGGGAAGATACAGGCCTTCCTGGGTGAGTCAAGTCACACATAACGGGTGGGTCAGCAGGGGCACTACAGGCCCCAAAGTCATATGCTAGGTCCTGTGTACCCCCAGGGCTTCCTGCTGTGGGTATGTGGGTTCTGACATTGGTGAATCTGGCTCTGTCACTCCTCCTGACCCTAGCAATCCAGACGGTTGCTGAGCAGAGCAGCGCCTAGGTATTCCTTAGGAAGAAAAGAATCTTTAAGGAAGCTGTGTGTCCTATAATCAAAGGGTAGGACTAGGTTGTATTGTGAGGTCTCAAACTGGGGCCTCACTCTCTGCAGGTGGGGCCACCACAGAAGACCTACGGGCCCTCAGCCAGCAGAATGTGAGCATGGATTTAGCCACTTTCAAGAAGTTGCCAGTGGAGGTCCTGGTGGTAGGTGGGGGCCAGAACTCATGAGGGAGGGGACTGAGAGAGGCTCTGTAGAAACTGACCAGGCCTCCAGAGGAGAAGGACTTGGGGGTGGACTTACGTAAGTGGGGTCTACATAAGTAGCTTCTGAGGGGTAGCTTACTGGGTTGAGGTACTGTGGGCTGAGGTATGCCCTAAGTGGACCCTCCAACCTTCTGGGAACCTGCCCCATGCTCTGGCAGGGACTGACTGTGGCTGAAGTACAGAAACTTCTGGGGCCACATATTGTAGGCCTGAAGGCTGCGGAGGATAAGAGCCCTGTGAGGGACTGGATCTTCCACCAGCATCAGGAAGATCTGGACAGGCTGGGGCTAGGACTCCGTGGTGGCATCCCCAATGGCTATCTGGTCCTGGACTTCAGTGTCCGAGGTGAGCTGGGCTGCCTGGGAGCAGTGTTGGGGGATGGAGTCCAGGGGTCTGAGTTGCCCCTCTCCCTGCAGAGGCTATATCCAGTGGAGCCCCACTTCTTGGACCTTGCATTATACTTGCATGGATCCCAGCTCTGCTCCTGGCCTTGATGCTGAGCTGAGACCTCCAATCCTGAGGGTCCTGGTTCTAATCCTACTGTGGAACTCCGTTCTGGGTCATGGGGTCACTGTCCAAACTTGAGGGCACGTGAGCACAATAAATGATGCCCCTTGAGACATGTTCTGTAGTAGTCCTAAGACCAGGCGAGAGAATGTGACCTTGTGGTTTCCTGTGATCCCATAAATAAAGCTATCTGAGTTCAGTCCTCCCACTGTATTGGAAAGAGGGATGAAAGGTGGACTCCCAGGCAGATGGTGGCTATTCAAGTCCTTCCTGATGTGATTGTGGTTGTCTCCAAGGTGGTAGAAATCCTATTCCTAACACCCCAGCTAAGGGGTGTGGGAGTTGCCATAGCTTAGACCCTGCCAAGAGGACTCTGCCCCCATTGCAGGGACACAGGCTGCTCAATAGCCTTGCACTTTATTCAGATCCACCACTGAGGGCAATGACATTGATGCACCACCAAGTTCCACCTGTACTGGAATAGGCCAGAGGACCTGGGTCTTTTCTTCCCCTGCTGACCTGCCCTTGTGACTGGGCAGGTCCCAGCTCTTATGGGCCCAGGTCCTGGGAGCTGAGGTATGTAGCAGGCCCAGCTTCCTAGGATGGTGGGGTGGGAGGCACAGTAGGTCCCTCAGGCCTGACACCTGCACTTTAGCCTGAGTAGGCATCATGCTCCACTTAGCAGGTCCGTCTCTCCTGTATCTGATGTCCATGGGCCTGACAACTCTGGGGCAGTGCCATTTGCAGTAGCCAGGGCCCTGGTGCCCTGGGAGTAGTGCCTGTTGATCCAGAAGGTGCCTGATGTAGTAGCAGCCACAGGAGGCTGGAGGGCAGAGCCACAGCAAGTGGCAGATAGCCCAGGTGGACTGGAGGGCTACCTGAAGGTGGAAAAAAGAAAGGACTCATCATCCCTTACAGGGAGATGCCCTCAGAGCCCCTTCTAGGAGACTTTCCCTCTGTGCTGGTGATAGCTGAGAGGGTCACTAAGGATTTCTCCATCCATGGCTGCTCATCTGGGCTCTGCCAAGTCCCTTTTGCGGTTTGTTTTGTTTTTGTGATGCCGGAATTGAACGTAGGCCCTTACACTTGGCTAGGCAAGTGCTCACCACTGAGCTACATTCCCAGCTCCTGCAGCCCCCAGTTTTTTATATTTTAGTTTTTGAGGCAGGTTATCTTTAAGTTGCCCAGGCTAGCCTTAAACTTGCTCTATAGCCCAGAGCAAGTCTTGAACTTGCAATCTTCCTGCCTTAGCCTCGTGAGTAGCTGTGATTTCAGCCCTGGGCCACCAGGGTGGCCCTAATTTGATGCACCCCTGGAGGCAAATGAAAGGCATGAACAGCTAGGGGGTCTCCTGAGAATGGGGAGCAAGGGCTGTGGACCATACCTGAGGCAGGAGCAGCAGCATCATTCCCTGGAAGATCCAAGTTGTGAAGTGGGTGAGAAAGTGGATGAGTGGTATTGGGGGGCCCCCTGGTCACACAGGCTGGAGTAGGGCTGCTGAGGTTGGTGTCTAGGCCCAGCTCACACAAATCTGACCTGTCGAGTGTGCACAGCCAGGGGATGACATTTGGGTTGCTGCGGGCCTTCTGCAAGTCCCCTACATTCTGGCCCAGCAGAGCTTTCACCTCGTCCACACTCAAGTTCTGCAAAGGAATTCAGAGGTATATGTGGGAGGTAGAAGGTTCCATGAGGCTGCCCTCCCCAGGGTAAGATCTGATGAGGGCAGTGCTGCTCCCAGGACTGCAGAGTGGGGAATGTGAGGCACAGAGCCAGCCTGAAGAAGTCATATGGGTCTGTGCCAGCTGTAGTCTTCCGACTTTGGGGTATATAGAGCTGAAACCTAAGATTTCCAGCTTGGCCAGCCCTGCCCTGCCTGCCTCCCACAGAGGCAGCCTCTGAGCCAGGCACTGTGGTATATGCCAGTAATCCCAGCACTCAAGACACTGAGGCAGGAGGACTGTGAATTCCAGATAGCCGCTACAGAGTGAGTCTCTACAAACAAAATAGAAATAGCCCCTGGACCCACCTTCAACACAAGAGGATTGAGATTGGTGAATGTGTCAATATCCATGGAGATATTGGCCTGGGCCAAGTACTGAAGCTCTTCCAAGGAGGCACCACCTGGGGAGAGCAGTGGTAAGAGGTGGAGGGGAAGAAGCAGAGGGCTTGGGGGGAGGGGCACTGACACACGGGGAGCTCACCCAGGTAGGGACGTATGTAGTAGTAGTATTTGTTTGGTTCAGTAGTACTGTTGTTCCTGAAGGCCTCACGAGCTTTGATATAGAGCACATTCTTCCGACTCTGAGGGCAGGAAGAAATGTCTGGAGCCCCGGCCAGCCTGGGAACGGGATAAGGCTGATGACTATGCCAGAAGCCCCTTGACCCAGGCAAGTAGGCACAGCCTGAATCTCAGGTTTCCTCTTTCCCTCTGTACTGGATGAAAGTGTAACCCCAAAATATGTATGTACCTGTCATCTCAGAAAGTGGCTTTATCTGGGAAAAGGAAAATGTTGGCTGGCAGGTAAAAATAGAGTAAAAGATGACACTGGATTAGCTTAGCCCTAAGCCTAATTCCTGGTATTGTTATGACCAAAGTTTGGACACATGCACAGGTGAGACAAGAAAGACCGTCCTGTGAGGCTCGGAGAGGCCTGGCCCTGATGACACCTTGACTTTGCACTTCTGGCCTTCAGGAATTCTAGAAAAAAATTCTCATTTTAAATCACTCAGTTTGTGGTATTTTCTTTTCTTTTTTTACATTTTATCATATTTTATATTATTTATTTGTGTGTATGCACATATGTGTGGGTGTTTGGAGGTCAGAGGACAGTGTGTAGGAGTTGGTTCTCACCTTCCACTATGTGGGTTTCAGAGACTGAACTCAGGTTGTTAGAGTTGGTGGCAAGCACCTTTACCTACTGAGCCATCTCATGGCCTTCGTGCGTGCGTGCGTGCGTGCGTGCGTGCGTGCGTGCGTGCGTGCGTGTGTGTGTGTGTGACTGAGGTTGGCTTCAGTTGTCTTGGCCTGGAGCTCATCATTTCAGCTAGACTGGGTGGCCAGGTGGTCCCAGGTTTCCTCTTGTCTCTGCCTCCCCAGTGCTGGTATTATGGTATGGGTTGCTGTGCCCAGCTTTTTACATGGGGTACTAGGGATCTGAACTCAGGTCCCCAAGTATGTGCAGCAAACATTTTACTGACTGAGTCATCTCCCTAGCCCAGTTTGTGACATTTTTTATGGTTACCAATAGGATGGCCTTGCCTGGCCTGGACCACCTCTTCCCCCTCCATCTTCTCCTCCAAAGCCTTAGTTTCCCCTATGCCCCTCTCTGGGAAGATGGTTGGCTGGGAGGCTCACCGGAATTCTGAGGGCCGGATGATTTGAATCTGCTGGAGGCTCATCCAGCAGAGACGGGAGCCCCCAATTGCCACTAGTAGGGTGCCAGTGACCTTGCCATTGTGGTCCAAGAACGTCTGTAGGACTGCCTGGGGACAGGGACAGGGTCAGTGAGGTTGGGGAAGTCAAATCAGCTACCTTCAACCCCATCATTACCTTCCCCCTTCTGCCCTCACCTCTGTCTGGTTCTCCAGAGCTACATCTGAAGCGAGCAGAGCCACCACTGTATCTCTGGATGTGATGTTCCACTGGCCTATCTCAGTCAAGGAGTACAGGTAGACCAGTGAAGTGATGAGGTGCAGCTGGTCCTCAGGGATGCCATGTGGGTAGATCTGAGGCAGGTTAGTGGTGTAAGCTGTGGCTAAACCCTTTAGCTTCTACCTGATACAGCCCATCCACATACCTGAGAAAGCTTGGCTTTGACGACACGCTGGCACTCAGCAGGGAGTGGGTGCTGCATCAGGGGGTCCAGGTTGGCTCTGAGCACATGTGTGCCCAGGCAGGACTCCAGCTGGGTGCAGTCATAGTGTACCAGGAAGAGGTCATCTTGCAGTGTAGCTGCTGTGATGTTGCCATGGATGCAGGATCTCCCTGCAGGGTATGCTGATGAGTAGGCTAGCTGGCGAGGGCCTGAGCTGATGACTATTGCTGGTTTGGAGATGCATTTTTTTTTAAGGTATTTTTGAGACAGGGTCTCCCTGTAGCCCCAACTGGCCTGGAACTCATTCTGTAGACCAGGCTGGCCTTGAATTCACAGAGGTCTGCCTGCCTCTACCTCCTGAGTGCTGGGATTAAATGCATGTACCACCACGCCTGGCTGGGGATGCATTTTTAACCCTGGCCAGGATGGGGAGTCCAGACTCAGGGAGGCATGATATCCCTTGTCCATAGTGGCCACACATACCTGTGCGCCGCTTGGGCCTAGAAGACACTGAATTGGCCTTGGATTCCAGGAAGCTGGTGATGAAGCGCCTGGCATCACGCTGGCTGAGCCGGCCTGCCCGGTAGGCAACCACCATACTGCGGAAGAAGTCTAGGCCTACAGCCTAGCAAGGCAACTGTGTCTATTCCATGTCATAGGGAGGGTCAGCCTGTGACAGGAGCACCCAGGGCCTCCATTCAAGGCTCAAGAGTGGTTGTACGGCACTCATGGGCTTGAACAGACTGGTGATACCCAAGCAAGCTTCACCCCAGGCACCCTCCTACCTCTTCCACCTTCTCCCACAGGTGCGGGTAGATATAGGTAGCCAGAGGTCCCAGGGACTTCAACCCCTCCAAGTTCCAGGAGCCAGGAGGCCTGGTACATGAGAAGGGGTTCTGTGTTAGAGTCCAGTATGCCACCCCACCAACAAAGCAGGATGCAAGAATACCTATAGGCGCAGCAGTTAGGAGCACTGGCTGTTCTTGCAGAGGACCCGAGTTCAGTTCCCAGTACGCACATGGTGGCTAACAACCATCTATAACTCAAGTTCCAGGGAAATCCAACACCCTCTTCTGACCTCACAGGCATTGCACAACACAGGTGAAGCTTACATATATGCAGGCAATAAATATACTCATACACATAAAATAAGAATAAATAAAATTTATTTTTTAAAAAAAGAATACCAAGCCGGGTGTGGTGGCACATGCCTTTTATCCCAGCACTCAGGAGGCAGAGGCAGGCAGATCTTCGTGAGTTCAAGGCCAGCCTGGTCTACATAGTGAGTTCCAGGACAGCTGGGCTACAGGGAGACCCCAACTCAAAAAAACCAAAAAAAAAAAAAAAAAAGAATACCCATAGGCTCTCAGACCCTGCCTCCACCACACACAGTTTTGGAAACCTGTTCTGATATGGGATATGGGCCCCAGTTGGTGGGCAGCACCTTTAACCCTGTGCCTACCTTGTACCAGCCTGCAAGGTCAGAGTGGGGCTGAGGGTAGGATCAGAAGTCAGAGGATAGCCAAGACTGCATATATCACTGATCTCCTGGGCCAAAACGTCAAACCTCCTGCCTCCTATCTTGTCTCAAGGAAGGGAGGCCTTCTAGCCTCCCTCCCTGGTCCCCTTCACCCTGATCTCTGGAACCCCACCTACCCGAATTGTGTCCTCCCACTGGCCAGCAAGGTGTTGAGGGCAGCTCTCTGTGTGTTAGTCAGCTGTGGGCAGTGCAACAGGTTCTTTAGTACATGGGGGTCTGCAGTCACAATTTGGGATGCATCCATGTCACAAATCAAGACCCCAAGAAGTCCCAGGTCTGAAGCACTGAGCTGTAAGTGGGGTCCTCCCTGCAAGGAAAGTAGGTCAGTGCTGAGCAGGAGGCCAAGTCCCACTACCCATCCTGTCCCCACTGGAGATGCCTACCAGACAGGACAAGGCTGTGTGTTGCAGGGCAACCCTCTGGTTGGGCAGGTTGGCCAGCAGTTCTATGTTCCCCCAGGCAGCACGATGGGTAAATTCCCAGCAGTTGGCTTCTGTCACATGGTTTAGACTACAGACAGGTGGAAGGATGTCAGGGAATTGGGGCAGGGCCTCTCACCTGGCTTCCCAGGATCTCCAGGGTGACCAAGACCAGGGGAGGTGGCCCAGCTACAGCTGGCAGGCACCTGAGTGATGAGGAGGCCCTGGTCCCTGGCACTCACTTGTAGAAGAGCAGGAGGTTGGGTGGGTGGAGCTTGAAGTCATCCTGGAGGCCTAGCCGAGTGGCGAGGTTGGCCAGGCAGCTGAGCTGGGCAGGAGGGGCAGCTGGTCACTCTCTGTCTAGCATGAACTGGCCCTGGTGGGACACTGCTAAGCCCCTCCCCCCTCAGCTGAAGGCACACTTTAAGAAGTAATTGGAGCTAGGCATGGTGGCACATGCCTTTGATCCCAGCACTAGGGAGGCAGGCAGATCTCTGAGAGTTCAAGGCCAGCCTGGTCTACATAGTGAGTTCCAGGACAGCTGGGGCTACAGGGAAACCCTGTCTCAAAAGACCCCCCCCAAAAAAACCCCAAAACCCACCTTGATGCCAAGGATGGTGGTGCACACCTGCAATCCCAGCACTTGGGAGGTGGAAGCAGGATCAAGAGTTCAAGATCATCCTTGGCTACAGAGCAAGTTCAAAACTAACCTAGGCGTCATGAAACCCTGTCTCCAAACAAACAACAAAAAATAAAAACAAGCAAACAAACAAAAATCAAAAAAACTTTGAGACTTCTTTGGCCCAGGTATTATATAAAAGTGTGTTGCTTGGGCTGGAGAGATGGTTCAGTGGTTTAAGAGCACTGGCTGCTCTTGAAGAGGACCCAGGTTCAATTCCCAGCACCCACATGGCAGTTAACAACCATCTGCAACTCCAGTTCCAGGGGAATCTAGTGCCTCTTCCAACCTCCACAGACATGGGTGCACTTACACACATGCAGGCAATACACTCACACACGTAAAATAAAAATAATAAATAAAACATTTTTAAGTGTGTTGTTTAATCTCCAAATATTTAGGAATTTTCCATCTATCTTTCTGCTATTGATTTCTATTTCAAGTTCTTTGTGCTCTGAGAGAAGATATTGGATGATTTCTACATTGTAAGATTTGGTAAGGTATGTCTTATAGCCTGGGATATGTCTGTCTTGGTAAGAAGCCTGTGTTCTTGTGTTCTGCTGCTATAGGATGAGGTCGTCTGCATATCAGCTTTACACACCTGACTGAACTATGTTCTCTACTGTGTTCTCTATTCCTGCTACAGAATTTGACTTGCCCTAATAGATAGTGTGGGTGTCTTGGCTATAACAGTGGATTTACCCATTTTTCCTACTATTCAATCACTTTGTATCATGTTTATCTTGATGCTTTAAGGTTAGGTGCACCCACATTAAGAATTTTATTTTTTCTTTTTTTAATTTTAATTTTAATTTTTTTGGTCTTTTTGAGACAGGGTCTTCCTGTAGCCTCAGCTGGCCTGGAACTATGTAGACCAGGCTGGCCTCAAGCTCAGAGATCTGTCTGCCTCTGCCTCCCAAGTGCTGGGACTAAAGGCATGTGCCACCACGCCCGGCTTTCTTTTTCTTTTTAAAGGATCTTTCTATATATAGTTCATTCTAACCTTTAACTCAATCCTTCTGCTACAGCCTCTCAAGTGTTAAGATTATAGGCATATGCCAGTGTCCAGCTCTTCCCTTCTGTTAATTTAGGCAATGATGCCTGGTCAGCTATGGAGCCAAGAGTGCTTATGGTCTCATGAGGTCCAGACTCCTGCAGTCCCAGTGCGGGAAGAAGCCAGTGACCTTCAAGACTCTTCCTCATGATCCCTGAGGCTGAGAACCACTCCAAGGAGGTGCCATGCCCCAGGTGAGGCTAGGGAGGGGCCACCAGAGACAGTGGACCTTTCCATGGACACAAGACAGAAACATCTTCAGAAAAATAGGCAGAAGCATCCTGGAACCAACCAATGTAGGCACTCAAGCAGATCACACCACAGGGGATGAGCCCCTTCTGAAGTGCAGATTTTTTGTCACAGTGGGGCTACCAAAGAGCTACAATAGTTTTGAAGTTGACAGAATAATTTAGAGACAGCCCTCTGTTTCAGGGAAGTTGTGTGCAAAACTGTCTCTCCACCTTCAGACTGTCCAGGAGCCTGGCTTCTCCTCCAGGCCCCGCACTCTCCTTCTGCCCCAGTGGCACTTACCTGCCAGGCTTTGAGTGAGACCCGCTGAGAAGCCAGGCTTTTGATCAAAGCTGAGAGTTGTTCCCGGGGCAGCTGGCTGGCTGGCTGGCACCAAAAGTCTTCCAGAAGGGAGGTGTTGTCCCTGGGTAGAAGGAGTTGGCCATGAGGGGTCCAGAGGGGAAGCCCCAATGAGGAAGACAAGGAACTCTTGGGCTACTATAAGGGTAACTAAGATTACTCAGCTATCTCCACCACTGAGGAAGAGGCTGGAAGTACCTATCACATGTAAGATTCCCTTCCTGTCTTCCTCCTTCTCTTCCTTCCCAGAGCATTCAGCTTAGGGACAGGCTCTCAGCTGTGTGGGGCTTGAACATCGGTCCTTTAATTACTCAACTTCCAGCTCAGGCCTAGACCATTCCTACCTGCTGCTGAAGGGCATGGGAGCAGCTGCTGGGTGACCACAGGTGAGGCCATCCCCTTACCCTTTCTCAGGGTATAACAACATACACATGGTGGGGTGGTCTCAAGTTATACCAACCCTGGTCCTGCCTGACCAATTACCTCATTAACTGATTGGTCCATTGGTGGCCATTACCCCCAGGAAATGAGGGAATAGCTAAGCTCAGGCCCAAGACCCTTGGACAGAAGGAAATAATTGAGCTAAAGTGACCTGGGGAGTAGCAATGGCCTCAAAGCCTGTAGGCCTGGCACCAGCAGTGAAGGGTGGTGGCTTAGAGCTCCAAAGGGAAACTTTGGGGGGACCTTGACCAAGATCACATGTCTCTGATGGTCAAAGCTACTCATGCGCCTGCCCCATACCCTTGATGATGGCTGGAAACTTGTTGGCATGTAACCGATACTGGACGCTAGAGGCAAGACCAGCACGTGACCCTGAAGTCAGGCCAGGTCCCCTAGGTCAGAGCTAGGAAACAGTGGCCCTGCCTGGCTCTCACGTGCAGATCCTGGACACAGTCCCTCCTCTGGGACTTCCAATAGAGACCCTCAAGACTCCTTTCTTCTTCATGTGCTGTTACAAATCAATCACAGGAAACAATCAATTTGCAGGGCTTTGAGTATGCTCACCTGACCCATGAGTAGGCTCCATTGGCATTCAGTTCTCCTTTTGGGAAGCCCTCAGTCTGAGGACCAGAGCAGTGGGCAGTAAAGGACAGGAGGAGGGTGAGGCCCGGGCTTGCCAGGGCACCTGCAACAGAGTGATAGTGAGTGTGTGAGCAGGGGCTCCCTTAAACCCTGTCATAGCCTCCTTCTAGAATTGGAGGACCTGGAGGAGGTCTGGAGGGCCACGCCAGTTCCTGTGGGCATAGCCTGAGCCTGTAAGTAGCATGTGTGTCTGATGGCGCACACAAATGTTACCTAGTCTAAACCCTGAGACCTCAATACACAGAGACAGAGGATTAGTCCCACCTTCTAGTCCCTTGCATCTGTAGCAGGGTAAAGAAGAATCTCCCAAATTAGGAAGAGGGAGTTTGTGTCTAAGGGATCTTTATCCAGTCCAGAGCAGACCCCTTAGCAAAATATCTTCTCCAGCAGCAACAGGCCTACAGAGGATGGAAGTTGGCCGTGCCCTGGTATCCTTTATAGACTATTCCCCTCCTTGCCCTGCCTTGAGCCTGGCCTAGTCTGTGCTGGGACTGCCAAAGAGGGCTCTATCCATGTTCTACTGCCTGAGCCTGCAGTGACCCTTTATGGTCACAGCCTTGTCCCCGACTTGTCTCTGCTAGAACCCCAAGGTTTGTGTTGGCAGAGCTATGCTCTCAAAGCCCTTTTGTATCATACTAGCTGGCCCTACATACAAGGGACCCTACCCTGTTCCCTTTCTTTGTTTGTGGCAGTTCCCTAAGTTTGGGTTTATGAGGATGGGGTGACCAGAGCATAGAACATCCCCAGGTCCACAGCAGTATGATGGGCCTGCAGACCCACCATCCAGAGCCACCCAAGAGCCCAGGGCATCCCTTCTGCACGGAGGTGTTGTCTCACCTACTCTGGGGCCCATAGCTGAGTGTTGGCGAGCTCTGATCACCCTGGGTGAGGTGTCCCAGGACAGGAAAGCACAGAGACCATAGGTCATGGGTCCAGTCCTAGAGGTAGAGGAGGTCAGAGGTGAATCAAGCTGGCTTCACAGGACAGGGAGAGATATTCAGTGTCTTACACGATGCCTGACCCTGCCTGGAGAAACAGCCCCACAAACAAGCATCACAATGACAGGGAGTGGCAGGGGAGGGGAGCTAGTGAACCTAGCTTTTCTTATCACAGGTTGGGCCCCGGGGACCCACGGGTGCAGTGTCTCCAATTAGCAGGTCTCACAAACAGCAAGTTTCCAAGGCAGCAGAAGGGAGGTGCCCCCCCATACTCTGTGGTCCAGGCCTTTAGACATCAACTCTGTCACTAAGACCCTGATCCTAGGAGACAGAAAGGGGTCCATCCAGAGTGACTAAACTGCCCTGTGCCACTGATTCCTCCCAGCATAATGTGCAGTCTAGTGGGTCCCTATGACCTCCTGATTTTACGTTGCCCAGGAGACAAACATAGAGGTTACTACACTATGTAGTGGGCAAAACAGAGGCTCAGATGCCCAGCAGCCTATATCCCTGTGGTCTGGTTGGTGCCCTCTACCTGCACAGGCCCTTACCTGAGCAAGAATATGGTCTATGGTAGAGGAGATATTGTCCAGGCCTCAGGGAGGAGGCTACTTCTGACCACACGACTACGGGATATAGTAGATCAGGTGAGGTAGATGCCAGCAATATAGGTTCTGATTGTGTCAATCTATACAGCAGAGCTCCAGGATGCAGGGCTGCCAATGTCTCTGTTCATCTGCATGCCTGGCCCAGTAGGCAGCATGAGACTGCCCTACCTAGTCAGTCCACCCTTGCAGTGACACCTGCCAGGCAGACCTGTGGGGAGGGGCCTGGACCATGCCAGGTGATGCTTATATCAGCCCCTCGGGCCCCAGGCATAGCAAGCACCTGCTCCTCGGCCCCAGGAGGAGCTCAGCCTGAGCTCAGGGTTGGCAGAAACCCAGTACACACCCTTCCCTTGAGGGCATAGCTTCAGGGTATATGTGAGAGAGATGTGGACAAGCCCGAGTTTGCATTTGCTGGTTTTAGTCTCATTCTGCAGTCTGTGCACCTCCAGAGCTCACATACATGAGGTGTTCCCATATAGGACATTAGGCACACATAGACATATATATGGCAGCTGGACATGGCCATTCTGTGTGTGCTAAAGCAGAGTGCCAGGCAGGCATGTGCATATGTTTGGGGTGTGAGGCAGAGTGAGCATGCAGTGAAGCATGCCCTGGACACCCATCCCAGCCTATGACCCTACTCAGGCCCTGACAGCTGCTGCCAGGACCTCAGGGAGTGGCAAGATCCAAGGAACAGATTTGGGGGAGGATCCCAAGCAAGGAGTAAAGGCCCACTCTGAGGTTAAGACAGCCTATCAAGAGCACCCTGACCCCAGTGCTGACCTAGGAGCAGGTTTTGGCTAAGAGGTTTGTTTTGTATTGAACTTAAGGCCTCACACATGCTAGCCAAGTGCTTAACCACTGAGTCCATCCCCTGCCTTTGGCTAAAGATTTTTTTCTTTAAATATTTTATTTATTTTTATTTTATGCGTATGTGTGTATTGTCTGCACGTATGTAAGTGCACTTGTGTTGTGCCTGAGGGGGACAGAAGAGGGCATTGGATTCCCTGGAACTGGAGTTATGGACAGCTGTTAGCTGCCATGTGGGTGCTGGGATTCGAACCTGGGTGTTCTGCAAAAGCAATCGATGCTCTTAACTGCTGAGCCATTTCTCCAGCTGCTGCTAAAGTTTTTTTCTTATTGTTTTCTTCTTCTTCTTCTTCTTCTTCTTCTTCTTCTTCTTCTTCTTCT